TGCCATGTGGAGGCCCAATAGCATGAAGACTCGAAATAGTTGGTGGATTCAGGGAATGAGAGGAAATGGGTAGGATTTTCAGGGAATGAGAGAACATGGGATGAATTCGGTGGAGAAGGACGGAGCCTGAGTGATTTTGCAGAAATGGCAAGTGAAGAGGTGGAAATAGTACCTTTAAGCTATTTTTTCCATCAGTATGGGTGGAAGATAGCTTATGATCTCTGAATTTTTTACTGAAACTGAGATAGGAAAATAAAACTGAAATCACCAAAAAATGTAAATAACTTAAAGGTAAATAATTTATAAAAAATGATCTATATCTTTAAAGGTAAATAATCTACATTTAATTTTATCTTTGTATCCCCCATGAATCTAGCCCAATAATAACACTAATTGGAGCTAATTGTTATTAAGTGTTTACTACGTGACAGTCACTGTTCTAAGTACTTTATACATATTAACTTGAATCTTTATAGCAATACTCCTACTTAGATACTACTATCTCCACTTCAGAGTTAAGAAAACCAACCTACAGAAAATTTAAATGTCTTAACTAAAGCCACACAGCCAAAAAGTAGCAGAGAGCTGTATGGGTTTGTTGATTGACTTTATGAAAAACGTGTACAAGCTGTCCAGCCAGCCTGGGATGGAGGGTCCCTGTTGACATGGGAAATGCAGTGGGACAGACGGGCTGGGGTATTTTCATGAGTGAACATGAGAAGAGGGGTTTGGAACTGGCAGGTAGGTGGTTGAGAATCACAGGTTCCTGAGGGTGGAGTGCCATGGCGAAAGCTTTGCTAAACAGGCTCCACGTGTGTGTGTGGAGCTTTCCATTTTCCAGGACATTTTTACTTCACTATATGACTTTGATGAGCAGAAACAACAGTTCAGGCAATCCAGAAAGAGAGAGAGGATGATGCAGTAGTGCTCAGAGATTTGAACAGATAATTTCTGGTTAAAATATCAAGGACTCAAGGACTAAATTAATACCTGAGGACTGTGATCCAAGCAATTAATTAGAGGCAATAAATAGCAAACCAGAAGCCATTAACCACTCAGTGGAGTATGGCAAAGTGGGCTCAAGGGATTGCAAAAAAGGAACAGATAGTGTCCACGAGTAAGGCACGAATGGAACCACAAAGCCATATTGAGAACCTGAAGAGAATCAGCCACAAAAATAAGTGCCTCTTGCATTACAGAAATGCATGAAGGGGGATAAAGTGACTTAATTGCTCTCCACAGCAGGATAGTCACTGGGAGGGTTACAGGGCATGTGTGAGAAGGAAAGGGAAGGAAGGAGGGAGAAAAATTTTTTTGCTCTAAATCAATATTATTTGGTCTCAATCCATGTTTTTATTTTAGAGAAAAAGAAAAAACAAACACCAAGATGGAGAGAAAGGACCAAGCAAAAACAAACAAAAACCAGTAATGAAAATGGGGGGATGGACCAGGTAAGGGGAGAAGGTGGAGCTGGGGGTTCTAACCCATATACCTCAAGGCCAGGGGCGACAAGTAAGTGTTGGAGAGAGAGAACAGTGGGGACAGGGGGAGGCCAGTGAAGGCCTTGAAGCAGTGTTGTCACAAGCTCAGAGTCCTGTTTCAGAAAAAAGGCACCTGGTGGAAGAAGTAGGAGGGAGGTGGGGGACCTGACAGGAGATGGTACAGTAGGGAAAGGGCAGACGTGGGGTTCTAAGGTGGGAATAAAGGGAGCGATGGGTGAGGAAATACACCAGGTGGAGAAACCTAGGGCTGCAGTGTCAGGGCTGGGAGACTGGGTGGCAGTGGCATTCCCTGCGATAGGAAGGGGGGAGGGGGAGCTTTTGGGAGGTGGGGAGCTCAGTGTTGGACATATGGAATTGATATGCTTGTGAAATATCCAGGTAGAATATTGTCTGACGGACAAAGGTGTAATGGCCACCCTGATGAGAAGGTGTCTTTAGACTAACAGACAAAGCAGGCGACTCTGTAGAATGTAACAGAATTTACTGTAGGGTCATTTCCTTCTGGGAAGATTGAGCTGGAGCAGACAGACGGCCCAGCATTGCGCACAAACTATTCTCTGCTACCAGATACCTTTAAAAAATAAAATAAAAATAAAATATATATATATATGTGTATATATATATATATATGTCTTTATTGATTTCAGAGAGAGGAAGAGAGAGAGATAGAAACATCAATGATGAGAGTCACTGATCGGCTGCCTCCTGCACGCCCCCTGCTGGGGACCGAGCTTGCAACCCGGGCATGTGCCCTGACAGGGAATCGAACCTCCATCTCCTGGATCCTAGGCTGATGCTCAACCGCTGAGCCACTCCAGCCGGGCTTACAGTACTTTTTTGTACAGTATAACTCAGGTACTAATGATTGACAAGACAAAGGGACAAAGAATACAATAGCTCCAGGGTCCATACCTCCTGGTGGTCTTGTGATAGATGATTGCTTATAATTGACACTACTGTATTACCATTAGTATGTTTATTTCAATTGTCATGCCATCCCAGCTGTTATTAACAAAAATATGTATGGCTACATTTTAAGAAACACAGATAATCATCAACTAGAGGGCTTTGATATGCTGGCTAAAGACAGGGAGGTTAGTCAAAGGTCACAGCATGAAACTTGAAATGAAATCTGAAACACAGATGGATTTAGTTTTGTTCACATAAACATCTATACACCCTGGAGACAGTACATTGTTGGGCTTAAATGCTGATATAAGAAAAGAAGAATTTAAATGTAAAAATAAGTAAATGCATAAAAGAAGCAGAGCCCAGTGAGATTACTAGAGTGCTCCCAGAGGGTCTCAGGCTGGCCTCTGGATTGGTGGGGGGACAGTTGTTCACCAGTGACAGTTTCATCAGAAACAAGAAGGGCCTCCAGACCAGAGGATGTGTCAGAGATGGAGCTTCTGCTGGGAACCCTGCCCAGAAGTTTAAAAAAAGAAAAGAAAAGAAGAAATGCTGAAAATTGTGAAGTAAGAAAGGATAAATCTAAAGAAAGTAGAAAGAAACAATATAAAATGATAAAAATGTAGCAGAATTTAATGAAATAGAAACCAAATATTTAGTAAAGTTCAAAAAAGCTGAAAGTAATTCTTTGAAAATATGAATAAAGTGGTTAAGTCCTTGAATGACCTTGTGGATCAGAGCTGTCCCACCAGCCCAGACCAGCCAGACTCATTCATGTGAGAGAAAAACAAACGATCTTGTTCAAGCCACTGTATACTGAGGACTCTGTTTCAGCAGTTAAGCCTCTACCCAACTAACATATTTTCCCAAATCCATTCTCTCCACCTTCCTTCATACAATAATTCCCATTTTTGAATTGGGCGTATTACCTCCCAGCTAAAAGGTTTCATTTCCCAGCCTCCTCTGCACCTACGAGTGACCACAGGACTAAGTTGTGGCTAATGAAGTGTAAGTAGGGTTGTTATATGGGACTTCTGAGTAATCTCCTTATAGTCAGTGACCTTCTTCTTCCTCTTTCCTCTTTCCTACTGTCTGGAAAGGGAATGTAAGAGCTGGAGATCCAGCAGCCATTGGGGGCCATGAAGTTACGTGCTAAGAATTGTGTAGAAGCAGAAGACCAGGACCCAGTGCCTCTGGTGACCAGTTCTGGACTGCCTACTCCTAGATTTCTTCACATGACAGAGAAACCTCTATCTTATTTAATCTATTAATGTTTGTTTGTTGTAAGTAGCTAAACCTAATCCTAAGTAACAGCTACACCCAGCATCGTATTAGTTGCTGGGACACACATTTCAAACCCTAACTTTTTTTTTTTTGCTATTCCTGTTTTAAAAAAAGAAAAACAGACATATGACAGTCATTTATTCAGTGGCCAGTGCCAGGCACGATGCTGGGCAGAAAATACAAGATGAATCACACTTGATTCCTTTGTACATGGAGGAAACAATCTAGGAGAAAATGATTTTTGTTACAAACTGGAAGCATAATGCAGGCTTGCACTTCAGAGTATGGTGCACCGCATTATGATGTAAGTAGCATTACAAGAAAAATACACAGCTGTTAGAAACCATGTGTTTAAAGAATTTAGTGAGACATGAAAATGTAGTATGTAGCTTAATGAAAAGCAGAAGTTCACAGTGATGGAAAGATACTATAATCACATATATGTATAAATGGAAAACCTCTGCTATTGAATATGTAAGTGGATCATTGTTAATTTTTTAAAATATGTTTTTATTGATTTTAGAGTGAGAGGAAGAGAGGGAGAAACAGAGAGAGAAACATCAATGGGTTGCCTCCTGTATGCACCCTGACTAGGGATAGAACCGTAACTGTTGACCTTTCGGTGCATGGGACGACACCCAACCAACTGGGCCACACTGGCCCGGGCTAACTTTTTTTCTCTTAGAGCATGTGTATTGTATTAAAACTGTGATCTTTAAACCCCTAGGACATAGTCATGAGCCAGTGTTTATGTGACATTATGCCCCCTCTCAGTGCCTCAGTTTCCTTGCCTGTAAAATGAGCAAAGCTTCACTTATTAGCAGTTAACATGTAAGGCTCAGTTCAAAGATGTGTGCCCTGCACTGTCTTCTCATGAAGAGGGTGATTGGGCTTAAACAGAGCCCCTTTCTGAGGCCTTATATCTATATTTAGATGCATGTGATACAAAATGGTAAATGTATTTTTTTTTTANAGTAAAATTAGCAGTTAACATGTAAGGCTCAGTTCAAAGATGTGTGCCCTGCACTGTCTTCTCATGAAGAGGGTGATTGGGCTTAAACAGAGCCCCTTTCTGAGGCCTTATATCTATATTTAGATGCATGTGATACAAAATGGTAAATGTATTTTTTTTTTAATATATCTTTTTTGATTTCAGAGAGAGGAAAGGAGAGGAAGAGAGAGAGAGAGAAACATCAATGATGAGAGAGTCATTGATGGGCTGCCTCCCCAACTGGGGATCGAGCCCACAACCCGGGCATGTGCCCTGACTGGGAATAAAACCTCGATCCCCTGGATCCTAGGTCCACGCTCAACCACTGAGCCACGCCCAGCCGGGCGGTAAATGTATTTTTTAAAGTTCTCATTGGGAAAGTTGTTACTAGACTTTCTAACCATTGTTTATTCTCACTGCCCAGGTTACCCTTTCCCTACTGCTCCTCCTGTGGACCCATTTGCCAAAATCAAAGTGGATGACTGTGGGAAAACAAAGGGATGCTTTAGGTTGGTAGACCTGTCATTGGATAACTTTAAGACGAAGACGTTGATTTCCTTCTCAGGAGAGTATTGAAATTGCATGCAGTCCATTGAAACCAGGGGCTGGTACCCCTTCATAACTTGGGCAGGGATGGGGCCTGTGTCTGATGGCCACCCCAGTTTTCAGTCTTAAAGGCCTTGAGCTCTAACTCGCAGCTTGGCCCTGGAACAGTCTTCACTTTTGACTGTACTGCCATTGGCACAGGTGTCTATTCCTAACCAATTGGCTGTATGAAGAGGAGTTGTCTGTGACACAGGATATGTCTGGGTTTATTAGGAGGGGGCATGACCGAGACAGGCAACGACAGACATGTCTAATAGCCAATTCCGTTTCAAAAAATGTCATGACTTATTGAGATCTGTATGATACTAACTCGTCTTTACGCATTAATTACTGTGGCTAGCTTGTTATCTCGGGTGGAGCGGGTCCTTCCCTGATTATTAGTAGTAATCTATTGTATGAGGGACTGGAGCTAGAAAACAGTGGTGTGCACAGTGGGCTCCCACAGAGAGAGCTCTGGTTTGTCAGCAAAGCCTCCTTCTCTTTGAATTCTTTATTTTCTGAAACAGATTGTCCTTAGGTAAAGATCTTGTTGATCACTGTACTAAAGTTCTGATTTTTATTTTTTCGGTTCAGTGCTCAAGATCTAAGGGGAGAAAACTGAATTATAGGGGTTTTGAGCTTTCTTTGGATTACTAGGACATTTCTTTCTTTTTTTTTTAATATATCTTTATTGATTTCAGAGAGAGGAAAGGAGAAAGAGAGATAGAAACATCAATGATGAGAGAGTCGTTGATTGAGCCCGCAGCCCGGGCATGTGCCCTGACCAGGAATCGAACCCCGATCACCTGGATTCCAGGTCGACGCTCAACCGCTGAGCCACACCCAGCCGGGCGGATTACTAGGACATTTCTAAGGAATGAAAAAAAATCCATTAGTACTAGTATTAAGGAAGATGGCCAGTAATGTATAATTCTGGTGATTGGGGGATATTTTTGAGAAGGGAAAGAATTGTATACCCTGCTGGCTTCAGGGTGACCTCTTTTCTGGCCTGTTCACTCCTCCTTTAGCTTTTCTTAACCTTTTCACCCAGTTCCATGTTGTCTGTGACCTATATCTCATCCTGGCTGCTCAGAGCATCTGCCGGCATAGTGGCCCAGTCCTTGCCTCCCTCCTCAATCAACACCTAGCTGTTTTGTGTCTGGTTCCTTCAGATGCTACCTTCCATCTGAGGGTGACATTGCTACAGTTTTCTGTCATTCTGATAATGGGGTAAAACAATGTTCTTCAAACTAGGGCTTGTCAATTCTTAAAAGATCCACAGGTTCTCTGCAAGAACATTTAGATTTATGTTTTCAAAACAGAAACAGATTCATAGATACAAAGAACAGACTTATGGTTGCCAAATGGGAGGGGGGGCGTGGAAAAGGTGAAGGGATTAAGAAGTACAAATTGGCAGTTACCAAACAGTCATGAGGATTTAAAGAACAGCATGGGGAACATAATACTATTGTAATAACTATGTATGGTGCCGGGTGGGTACTAGATTTATCAGGAAGATCACCTTAGAAGTTATATAAATGCCTAACCACTATGCTGTATACTTGAAACTAATATAATAGTGAATGTCAGCTATAATTGAAAATTTTAAAAAAATTTTTAGCCCGGCCGGGCGTGGCTCAGCGGTTGAGCGTTGACCTAAGATCCAGGTGATCGGGGTTCGATTCCTGGTCAGGGCAGTTAAAAAAAAAAAAAATTTTTTTAATTAAAAAATTATTGCTCGGGTCAATTAAAAATAAATAAATAAAATGAACTTGTGTCTTTATTTCAATGATGCTTCTTTAAAAGATTAATGCATATATAATCTGATTATGGGGAGAACCACCTTATACTGCTGTATGCTTTAGTGTCTGAATTTATAATTGTATTACTACCCATACAACAGAGGCAAATTTTATAAATAGGTGATGCATTCACACTCAGTGAATACCAGATGAGGTATTCATTTGGTGCATTGTACATGCAAGGGTTTTGCAGTGGTTCAGATAAAAGTGGAGGAGAGTGAGTCAGGTTTAATAGTAAGAACATGCTCAGTCAAAAGACCCTGCACAGTACAGTGAGATGCTCTATATGCATGTAAGCAGAATTTTACTTTAAGTAAAACTGCATCATCCATCACATGAACGCTGCAAGTTTAAATGTTCCTGGTTTTGTAGTTTATATTTAATTTGCAATTAGGTGTTCGTTTAATTGCAAATTTTAAAGTAAAAAGAATTGGTATATATTTAATTAACCAAAGTAATTTAAATTATTAACTCTGAGAATTTTTCCCACTAAAAGGGATTCAGAAATAATTCAGTAATAACTGATATTTGGGAGACACTAATATAGTGTAGAGAACGCTGGCTGGGAGTTTGGAGGCGCAGGTTCAAGTCCTGTTGCAGCTACAACTCCCTGTGCAAGCTCAGGAAAGTCCCGTCCTGTCTCTGGCTCCCTGTTTATATGTAGATAAAGTAGAGCAGATCATCTCCAAGGTCCCTCCTAACTGAGTGAAACTGTTTTTGACACTAGGGAGCAAAGATCTAATTTATTTAATAATGTTGCTTAGTATCCTGCCTTATACATAGATGCCCTCTTAATGTATTTTTAATAAGAAGATAAAGGAGTAATGTCTGTTTTTTATTAAATGTATTGGTTAGTATTATATGTTACGGTGTACAATTCTATAATACACCATCTGTATATTCCATTGTGTGCTCACCACTCAAAGTCTAGTCCCCTTCCATCACCATATATCTCACCCCCTTTACCCTCTCCAGTAATGTCTGTTTTCACGTCTCCTGTAGATACGGCAAGCCAGGCTGTAATGCTGAGACCTGTGACTACTTCCTTAGCTACCGGATGATAGGGGCCGATGTGGAATTTGAGCTGAGTGCAGACACAGACGGCTGGGTAGCAGTTGGATTCTCTTCGGACAGGAAAATGGTGAGACACACATCGTGATAGAAGCTTATTTTTCTCTTTAGTTAGCTGTGTGACTTTAGGGTTCAGAGAATGGCCGTGGTTATATTTCTCTAAGCCACCATGCTATGTTTGAATGCGAGAAGCTAATTTCTGGCACTTGATTGTCTTTGCATCATAAAGCAAAGAAATTCATCAACGCAGTATAATGATTATACGAGTATGGCTCTCTGGTCGCAAGTGAAAATAGATTCGAGCTAGCTTGAACAGAGAAGGAAGGGTTGGTTATGAGAACTCAAGATATTTCATGGTACCTGCATTCATCAGCTATTCCCACAGAAATGCTGCAAGGAAAGCCTCCCAAGCTACACGGTTTTTAATAGTAAGCATCTATTTCTTGCTCACATGTGTGTGGATTGGCTGGGGCTCAGCTGGACTTGGCTGCAGTCCATGGGTTTGATTCAGGTTTATTTTTCTAATCATTTTGCAACCAGCAGCTACCAAGGCATGTCATTTTCATGGCAGAGGCAGGCGTGCAAGGGAAATCCAAACTTATTTCAAACCTCTGCTCGTGTCACAGCTGCTAACACTCCATTGCCCAGAGCAAGTCACACAGCCAAGCTGAGAATGAAGGGGCAGGATGTACACCCTCCCTACCAAGAGGCCCTGCGAAGGTATGGGTATATAATACTACTATAGGGGGCTGAAGAATTGGGTCTAACAGTTCAGTCTTCCACAGTACCCCTGGGCGAGAACACATCTGGGCCTCAGAAAGGACTGTGGCCGGGAACAGGCAGAGCATCGGGAACCCAGGCAGCTGTCCATCTCCTGCCTCTGCTGTGGTCTCCCCTCTTTTCTCTGAAGCCCTATCTGCCCCTTCACTGTGCCTGGGTGCTTCCCAAACAGCCAGCCTTCCTTAGGCCTCTGTACCCTTGCACATGCTGCTGCTCTGCCTAGAGGACCCTCCCTCTCCTCTTTACCCGGCCTGTTTTGGGATTCGGGCAATGAGAAGAGGGCAGCTCAGACCAGGGTTACAGCAGCGGTGGTGGTGAGACGTGCTCAGGTTTTGGATATGCTTTGAAGGTCAAACAGATACAGGCTTTGCTAATGGATCGGACACGGGTTGTAGGTGGGTGGTAGGAAGAAACTGAGAGAGCAGTCCGTGCAGTCAGAGCTCCAGGGCTTTGTCCTTGGAGAGGTCGCCAGGAGAAGGAGCCTCCTCCATCAATTCCCAGTCCAGGCAGTAAGACAGTGGGTCCAACTGGTAAGACTGTGTGAGTATGAATCTACATCACTCATCTTTTACTGGAGTGTCAGCAGGAGAAACAGCAGGTGTGTGTTGTACGCAGGGGCTGGCTTGGGTTGCAGCTGACCATTTCCTGGCCTGGAATGCATTTGCACTCACATGCAGCTGCTAAGATTATGGGGCTCAGAGCAGGGAGGTTGAGTGAGGAGCATTCAAATTTTATGTTTGACATTTTGCTGCCTAAAGGTGTTTAAAATATACATCTCACTTTTCTCCTATTATTTCAAGAAGAAGCACAGATTAATTTTTTCCCCCAAAACCTGATACATTGGAAAAGCAAAATGGAAACCCTTTTAACGGCCTTTAACTTTTTTGAAATGGTGCGTTTTTTTGTTGGACTTTTATTTTTTTAGAGCAGTTTTAGGTTCACAGTAAAATTGAAGAGCGGGTACAGAAAATTTCCGTATACCTTCTACCCCCCGACGGACATAGCCTCCCCCATGATCAACGTCCCCTGCAGAGGACATTTATTAGAATTGATGAACACCTTTAGCATTTTTCACTTATTTGGAAAAAATTTTAAACCCACAGACAAGCTACAAGGATAGTACAATATAATATACTTCACCTAGAGTCACCAAATGATAAGCTTTTTATTGTGGTAAAATGTACATAACATAAAAGCTACCATTTTAAAGTGTACAATTCAGTGGCATCAATTACATCCACAGGGTGCAAGCATCACCACTCTCTAGTTCCAGAATGTTTTTGTAAATGAAACCATTTTGTCACACATGCTTTATCTCTCTACTGCTTCTACTGCTACTACTTTTATTTTTTATTTTTATTTTCTGGAGACTTTGGAGATTAAATCAATTTACTTATTAAATTCAGGAAGTTTAACATTGACCTGATGGTATTATCCAATATCCTGTCCATTTTCAAATGTCACCAGTTGTCCCAATACTGTTCTTTATAGAAATTTTTATTTTTATTTTTATTATTTTTTTAATCCTCACCTGAGGATATTTTTTCCATTGCTTTTAGAGAGCTTGGAAGGGAGGGATGGAAGGAGGGAGGGAGAGAGAGAAAAATTTTCATGCAAGGGAGACACATTGACTGGTTGCCTGTCATACACAGCCGACCTGGGGCGGGGAGCGAACCGGCAACACAGGCACGTGCCCCTGACCAGGAATTGAACCCACGACCCTTCGGCGTGTGGGTGGACACTAACCATTGAGCACACCGGGCAGGGATAGAAAGTTTTATTTTTTGACTCAGGACTCTGTCTAGGAACACCACACCGTTAGTTGTCATGTATCTTTTTTCATCTTCATTTTGAAATAGTTTCTTAGCCTTTTTTTTTTTTTGGTCTTTTATGACATTGACCTTTTGATGATCATAGAATCATTTTCTTTTTGGGGTAGAATGACCCTCAATTTGGATGTGACTGACTGTTTTTCGCGATGAGTTTAGTTCGTGTGTTTTTGGCAAGAATACTGGACAGCTGGTGACCTATCCCTCTCCGAGCACCACATCAGGGGGGCGCCTGGGCCTGGTGTCAGCCGTTGTGATGCTAACTGGTCACTGGGTGAGAGCTTTTTAATGGCATTTAAGATCATTTTGGGGGTGAGTCTTCAAATTACAGAGGTAACAGAATATATATTTCTCAGCGAAATGTCTTTTTAGCAGAAGAGCTTGCAGGAGACGCAGCTGTGACTTTCTTCCATCCCTGTCCCGCAGGGCGGCGACGACGTGATGGCCTGCGTGCACGACGACAACGGCAGGGTCCGCATTCAGCACTTCTACAACGTGGGCCAGTGGGCCAAGGAGATTCAGAGGAACCCTGCCAGGGACGAGGAAGGCGTGTACGAGAACAACCGGGTCACCTGCCGGTTTAAGCGCCCCGTGAACGTGCCCCGGGACGAGACGATCGTGGACCTGCACCTGAGCTGGTATTACCTGTTTGCGTGGGGCCCGGCCATTCAGGGTAAGCCCGGGGCTGCCGCCTGCCGCCTGCCGCCACACCAGGCACTGCCCTGCTGGGTGTCCGCTCTTGACTGGGTAGGACGGTCATAAGCACCGGGGATAATATTTTTAAAAAGGAGACTCGCTTCTGCCTTCAGAAGGTTATAACGGACTTATCACACACACGGACATACAGGTGAACAAGTCATGCACGTGTGTAGCTAGAACAGGGCGGGATCACACCTGGTGAGCCAAGCGCTGAATGAAGCAGTTCACCCGCCTGCTGCTGGTGGCGTGTGGGCTGTATTTCATTCTCGCCACGCTCCCATTCATTCCGCACCGCACCCTTGACAGGTGTAGGCACTCTAGCCTCATTTTAGGGAGACTAAGGAACGTGCTCAAGGCTCTACCACTAATTAAGGCGAGAACTAATATTCAGTCGTAGGTGTGTCTGACTCCAAAGTCAGTGATCACTCTTAGCCTCGATGCTCTAAATATTTAAAAAATACTGAGCACGGAAGAGCTTCTGGAGACTTCTCTAGAGACTGACAAGCGTTTCAGTAGCACTCACTTTATGGCTATCCTGATGGTCAGAAATCCACCAAATTATCCTATCGTTTAGCCCAGTACTCTTCAAATTTTAACATGTATAGAAATTGCCTGGCTTTATTGTTAAAGTAAAATTCAGTAGGTCTGGGGGTGAGGCCTGAGATTCTGCATTTCTAACAAGCTTCCTGCTGATGTTGGTCCATTGATGTCCTCGCTTTGGGTGGGAAGGCTCTTCCAGCATCTCCCCAGCAAAGACCCAAGGCTATCATGCAACCTTTTAGAGGCTGCAAAAATCAAGTCACACTGTGTCTTCAGCATTCCCCAGCTTGATCAGCCTAATGGCCTGACCAAGAATGGACGTGAGTTGTTTGCAGTCCTTGTGTGAGAACTCTCTAGCTCCTGGGAGTTGCATCTTCCTTAATTGTGTGCTCATCAACTATGTATTGTCCAGTCTGATCTGCTTTTTTCCCCCTCTTCAAATTGTTACCATTGGTCAGTCTGGAGATTTCATAAACCGTTTTTTCTGTTTCTAATCGGGAAAGCATTAGGATGCCTTCAGATTTGTGACGTCTTTGCCATTTGCTTATTTCCCAGATTACCAACAGTGGATCTGCAATTATGTCTTTGAGTACTTTCAGTACCCTGGGAAATTAATGATATCTTAGCCTGGAGAAATGAGCTAATTTAAAATGATGGGATCTGGCATCTAAAACTTTGGATTTGTGCATTGGTTTTGCCCCTTGGTAACTGTATCTAGCCTTTATCTAAATTCTGAACTCCAATTTTTTGTATCTAAAGTGGGGATAAAAATTCTGATTTTATAGGACTATTATAAGGGTTAGATGAAAACAAGTATTTTAAATTGCTTTACAAATTGGAAAGTGCTGCACTTCAGGAGGTCATCTTCTTACATATTTGGCATAAGAGCTAACTTTTCAGGCCTTCCTGCCTTGCCTGATAAGATCACTTGAGACTTTTGTTCTTCTTACTGTCTCCAAACAAAACAAGCACATTCCTACCCCATAGACAGGCTTGTGCTTTTCCTGTCTCTTGGATACCCTTCTAGCACCTCTCTATTGATCCAAACTTCTCATTCTCTTAAGAGGTGATAACTTTGAGCTAAGGTTTGAAGGGGGCTGCGGATTAGATTTCCCTAAGGAAGGCATGAACTAGAAGTGCTTGGTTAAGCCTGGGAGTCCATGTAGGTGATCAACGAGTGAGGTTAGGTATTAGAGGTGAGAGGGATCTGTTGAGAGAGAAATCTCGTGCCAACCCAAGGAGTCTGATTTGTGCTGACAGGAGCCAGCAGGGACACTGGAGTAGGGACGCGACATGTCAAGTTCAGCATGACTTCCCTAGCAGATAGGACCTTAAAAACCCTCACTCTGAGGCCTGTTTCCAAGGAGACCTTTGCTCTGAACTCATCTGAACTGTCTTAGTCTCCCTAACCCAAGTTTCACATTGATTATCATAGAGTTTATACCCATATGGATATTCATATGGATTAGATCAGGCACTTCTAGTCAACATCAGTTTATGAAGTAGCCTTTACACACAGCCCTTTCCTTTTTCTACTTCTAACCAGGCCTAAAACAAGTTTTCTGTCTAAGTATTTATTTGGTATTTTAATCCTCCTACTTCGTGTATCGTCCCATCCCACTCTGCCAGGAAGACACACGCACACAGCACACAGCACACAGCACACCACACCACACCCTCTCTGGTCTGTCCTGGCCAGGCTACCATTTTATGTCCCACAGGCAATGTGAGAGAGGCTCCCATCTGTAAGGGAGTTCAGTGTGTTCAGGAGTTGTTAATAATTCATCCATAAAATATATATTTGAGGAAAACAATTAGTAGCTCTTGCTCTTTGAAATCAAAATATAACTTCCCATTTGGCATTAATGAGGTAAAACTCATTAGAGACCTTAAGAGTAGGCATTCATACAATACTAAGTAGCAGTCTTAAAACTGGGGAGCCATGGAGAGACCAGTAGCACTGTTCTGGTAGGGGGGGGTGTGGATTTATGAGAACCAGTATTTTTGGATAAATTTAACTAATTTCTATGTTCTTCATTATATGTGCAATTATAGAGAATTCTCATAGTACCTGATTCCAGATCTTTATAATCACCGCTTATGTATTCAACACGAAAGATTTGTGTTTCGTTTTTCTGTTGTTAATATATACCATTTTAACTCTGTGCTTTTTTGATTGCCCCTTCCTTTTTATTTCTTTCCTAAAGGCTCTATCACCCGACACGATATAGACTCACCACCAACTTCAGAGCGTGTTGTTAGTATTTACAAGTATGAAGACATTTTTATGCCGTCAGCTGCCTACCAGACCTTCTCCTCTCCATTTTGTTTGCTTCTCATTGTTGCCCTGACTTTCTACTTATTGATGGGAACTCCTTAACCACAGCTGCAAATCCAACGCAGGAAATGGATTAGAAAGTCTTTAGTATACATATATATTTTTAAAGAATATACAGTATAATTTTAGCTTCTATTATTTAAAAAAAAAGACTCATATGATTTCAGCTTTTTGGAAGAAAAAACAAGCTTCTTTTCTAATCAAAGAGGATTGTTTAATAATGACCCCATACTTTTGGAAAGTACTTGAAACTTTTCTAAGTTTTCTTATTTGAGCTTCACAGCATCTCTGAGTTGGCTTGATGAAAATTATTATTGCCGTCTTACTGAATGGGTTTGGAGACCCAGGAAGGCTGCCTTTTTGTGACCCATATGCCATGTAGTCTTGGCCACTTGGTCAGGTAACACGTAGCAAGGCCGACAAAGAGCAAGGCATAGGAATCATGCCCCTGAACAATGTTTACTCTCCCAGCTATAGCTCAGGAGACTTGGAGTATTACTAACGAGAGCTTTACTGGTCAGACATAATTCACAGTAAGCCTTTTAGGCGGAAGGACTTTCAAATTTCCATAAAGCTTAAGTGCTTTTGGATAATTACACAGCCGATGGGGAGAATGGGGGAGATTACAATGATATGAAAATGGTTCATATGTCTTTGAAATTTCTTCTCAAGGAGTGAGCAGTTCCGAGAAAACATTTTTTTTATTGCTGTTGGAAGGGTTAGAAATAGAGTTGAGTGCTCCCAAAGATGTAAAATTATGTTAATGATAGGAAATATGGGCATTCTTAGCAGTTAGAATTGGGACTCTTCTACCAGTGTGTTTTATAAATTAAGGTATCTGTGTTTGCAGCTAATTCAGTTGTCAGAGTCAGCATACACTGAGAATGATTAAATAGTAATATAATAGACAAATCATATACAGAAAAATGTAAAGCATTTTGACAATAAACCAACATTTTGCAGATTGTGGAATTCGGCCTAGAAACTTTTTAAAGATGATATGTTTTAAAAAATTAGAAAATGGGAAATGACCTGTAAAGTGAATTCACCTAGATTACCCATTCAGACTTGTTCAGACTTGTAAATTGGATTGGCAGTCAGCATAATTTATAATAATGCTTTGACTGAATGTAGTTCCTTTTTTCAAAGGAACCCAGAGGTTCCTTTGCCCCCAGTGTCTGTGTTAGCAGCCCATTTAGAAGAAAAGAATCTCTGGAAGTGGTTCTGTGGCTGAGGCATTTCCAGTGTAGAGTTCTGGAGGCCTCTGGCTTGCCCCGGTTGCTTTGAAGCTGGCTCCAACTTTGTGGGTGTTTTGATTGAACAACACTGGAGACTGATTTCTAATGCCATCCTTGGAATTCATGTCAGAGGCGAAAGTCCTCCTTTGGGGTGAGCTTTCACATTCTTCTGGAACTGAACAAAAAGAAAAACATCAAGATTCCGCGACGTAGCACAGTTCACCGAGCTCATCTGAGGGACTTTGGAAAAGTAATCCTCATTGCAGGTGGGGAGAGGTCCAATCATCTCAGGTGAGCAAAGGAACAGGGTAGGATTCATTTGGTTCAAGTCCCTGGTTCCACCTGGCTACCGGCGCCTCACAACCAAGCCCTCTGGTCAAGGCTGAGGATGGGCTGTGCATCACCTTCCCCGCTGTCGTGCTTGCTGAGCAGTGAGGATACTGAGGATGCAGGCGCCCACACTGTAAATAAGAGGGCAAATATTTTTATATTTCATTTTCTCATGTGTATTATATCTCAGCTATAAATAGGTTAAAACTAAAGAGAGACTTCAGCTCGTCTCTGTAGCTGGCAGGGAAGAAATTAATGGATTTCCCTTCTGCTTACATTTCAAGTCAAGCTCTCTATTTCACCAGTTGGTTCTACTGTGACTACCAGTATATTTGTGCTTAGAGCTTTCCCTGATTTCTCACTGCCATTAGTGTAAAAGGTGAGCCACTTTGATTACCCCTCATATATACTGTCCCCACTCCTCACCTGCTATGACCCAGCAAGGCTGAACTGCTCTGAGTTCTTCAGACCCGCTTTCTTACCACATGTTCCCTGTGCCCAGACATTCTGCATACATTTCCTGTGCTTGCTGAACTCCTACTCATCTTTCAGGCCACAGCTTAAATATTTCTTCCTCCAACCCCCTAGACTAGGTAGGTTTTGGTCTCTGCCAAGTGCTACTATAGCACCCTGGGCTTCCCCATCACACTTGACTGTAATTGCTGGCTCCTCCTGCTAACTCCTTAATGCAGGGAGTAACCATTTTTGTTGTTTATCATTGCAACACACACTACTACACTGTAGGTATCCGGCAAACATTTGTTGAATGAATAAATAATGAAACTGTACTTCTATGGCAAGTTTCTTCGGTTCAGAAGACTTGTATTTCATAGACATTGTCAAACTGGCTAACATTTTTATATTTTTTCCACCTGTGATCAAACCATAAACCATCCCTTTAGCAAACAGTGAACTCTGTCTTTTGAAACATAAATAGAAAGATGGTTAGTAACAATGCTGTCTTGCCCTGCAAAACATAGTCGACATTCTTTTTTTTTTTTATAAATTGATTTTAGAAAGAGGGGAAGGGGGGTGGGAGGAGAGAGAGGAAGAAAGAGAAACATCAGTTGGTTGCCTCCTGTACGTGCCCCAACTGGGGTTCGAGCTGGCAACCTGGGTATATGCCCTGACCAGGAACCGAACCAGTGACCCTTTGGTGCAACGGACGATGCTTAACCAACTGAGCCACACTGGCAGGGCCATAGTTGACGTTCTTAATAATAATCATTGTTCAGATATAAGAATTCACAGAGCTGGGATGCAGAATAGCATTTAACTATCATCTCAGAGAGTCATCCATTTATAGATTCACTGGAGTTAAAACTCTGTGGATTCCAATTTCATTCATTCTTACCTAATATAAGAGCATCAACTTCTATTTTATCTCTTCATTCCACTTTCTAACAAGTACTTGTTACAGGGGATTTACCCACCTGTGTTTTTGTAGAACAATAATGCTAGCCATATGTATTTAGTGCTGTTCTAAGCACTCTGCATGGATTAACACATTTAATCCTCACAACAACCATAGGAAATAGATTCTATTAATCCGATTTTACAGATGAAAAAACTGAGGCTAGCCATTTGGCACAATTTACTAGTGCTGGCAAGGACTTTAGAGACCATTTAATCCAATGCACTTATTTTACAAAGGGGCAGCTGAGGCCTAGGGAGGTGATATGATTTCCTACCCATTCATGCTTCATGCACATTTATTAAAACTTTTATTAAACAGAACCCGCTATCCACATTCAAGTTAGCTAGGTGCTTTTTCCCCCCTTTTAGTAATTTACAATGAAAAGGATTTTTTATAGTTATATTTGGAGAAAGAGGTACATTTTACTTTCTACCAGCTTTTTTCTTCTTAAAAATATTTTGATTATTTTACCAGTCATTTTTAGAGCTTTTAATAGTTTTTTATTTATACACAGATTGGACAAGACTAGACTGTATTTGTCTTAGTTAAGTTTTAAAAGTGGCTTTCCGAAAGCCTGGGTCTCCTCACTTGGAGTCCAGTGCCCTTTCATTGCTCCCCAGTGGTCTCAAAGATGATTTGGTAAATGTGACTTCAGACAAAATGCAGAAGCCATGTTTAATTGTCTGAAGTTGGCTTTTGTCATGAAGGCAATCAGGAAGTTTGGACAACTCAGGGATGGATTTCCATCCCCAGTGGTTTTTACTCCTATTTCTGTAATTAAGTTTACTGTCTACATATTGGATCCTGTGCTTGAGAGATATGACCACTGAGGTTGTGTATCATTCTTAGCGCTAGCCTAGGGGTCAGCAAACTTCTTCTATCAAGGGCTAGATGGTAAAGACTTTAGGCTTTGTGGTCTCTGTTTCAACTGTTCAACTCTGTCATAGACCATACATCGACCAATGAGCATGGCTATGTTCAGTTGACACTGAAATTGGAATTTCACCTAATTTTTACACGTCACAAATATTCTTTAGATTAAAAAAAAAAACAAAAACATTTAAAAAGTAAAAACCATTCTTAGCTTGCAGGCCGTACGAAAATAGGCAGCAGTTTTGTTTGGCCTGTGGACTATAGGTGTCCCTTGCTCTCAGCCCGGAGACACACCTGTGTGTCACGACCAATTGTAAAGGANAGGCCGTACGAAAATAGGCAGCAGGTTTGTTTGGCCTGTGGACTATAGGTGTCCCTTGCTCTCAGCCCGGAGACACACCTGTGTGTCACGACCAATTGTAAAGGACACTGCTGGTAATACATTACTGGTTAATGGCAAAAATATTGAAGTTGAGTAATTTGTTTATAAAATATAGTTAATTGTTTTCTCGAAAATGGTATCCCTGGGCACTTACATTCCAGTAGATTTTCCAGAGTTGATGGGAAAGTGGTGGCAGTTAAGTCAGAGCCGGGTAAGCAACCATTTTATTTTAGCTAAACTGAGGCAGCTGTGAGTGACTCTTATTGATGAATTGCTTTTCATGGTGGGGATTACTGTGTTGTGGAGTAATTTATTTCGCTGCAGACATTTTTAAGTTTTATCAAAATCTGCTACAGCCACCGGACTGTTTTACGCATGTGACAATGTCATCTGCCTTGTGTATCATAAGGGGAAATATTTGAGGACCACTGCAATAGGCCAAAGGCTGAGAGGCGGATACTTTGCTCTATAGAATTGTATTGTACGTCTTTGTTCTCTAAACAGAATTGGTTATGCTTAGTGAACAGTTTGCTTTTTCTCGGAGTTTGTATATAGATATGTACATACATGATGAGGTCTGTGTGTGTTTACACATAAATGCCTATGTATACGTACCATGACCATTTGAAGGTCTTTGCCAGATTGTTTCTGTTTCTGATCTCTTGAATACTTTAAAATCCAAGAGGCAAAACATTGTGTGTATTGAAGGCAAAATGACCCTGGAGTTTATCGTACTTTAGTTTGTAGAAAGGACTCCTAGATCCTTTATTAAGACTTGCCTCCTGCAATCAGCATTACACGAATTGTTAAGAACGTATAAAGTATCATTGTTGAGTTTGATGTTTCTATACTGTTAGTTAAGAACCTGAGACTAGTTAGTATTAATTGAGACACGGCATGTTGATAACCCATACTCGTTTGGTGTTGAATTCGACTCTTTATTTAGTTATTCAATTATTTAGTTTCAAGTTGGACTTCTTTGTTTTTACATTTAACAGATGACTTGGGTATAAATTCCTTTTCATGAAAATAGTGGCTATGCTAATGTGATTTTAAATATGGCTGTAAATTTAAGTGAATCATTTATCTCCGGAATTTTTCACTTAAAATATGCAGATTTTTGTCTAACATTTTCAGTGTCCCCCCCCCCCCAATTTGCTATTAGGCAAGTAGCTGTTCAGTTCCATTCTTCTGGAGAATAGGTGATTCTCTTGGGTCACGGGGTGCTGCAGGTTGTGGCATTCACCCAGGTCACTAGAGCAGTTACATTTCATCACATAGCAAGTCCTGGCTACCTGGAAGAGTAAATGCAGCTTCTCCACATGCCTTATTCCCACAGCTGCGCCCATATGCTGGAACAGCCTGGCTCCAGGAGTATTAATATACTTTTTTGAGATTGTCTATAAAATACTATTTTGTAAAAATGATGCCTTTACATAGACATTGATGGGTTATATTTGTTTTATAATAATTATGTACCTAATGTTCAATTGTGATTGATTTTGAGATTTATGTATATTTATAAGCCTGTCCCATGTGAATTTTTACTCTAAGACATGTGATACCTTACTAATAAAGACATGGATTTCTATTTATGTAAAGTAATTGTAGCAATATTCCTAAATGCTACCTAAATGATTGTACTGTCCATTTGCCATCACAAATACTTTTATCCTTAGGGGATTATGTCATAGTTAGGATATATGAACTAGATTTAAACTTTAAAATATAAATTCTCAACATGGTTTGAAATTCATCCTGTTGATGTAATTAAAGGTAGTTTCTAATTCTTATTGCTCTGCTCTGGTGCATTTTTGGTTTTTTGTTTGTTTGTTTTACACCCTTTCATCACTAAAGTCTCCCCAAAGTTAGAGACCTTGAAGAAGATGACAGACTGTTCTGTCGGACAAAGAGGAAAATCATGCTGCAGTAGTCAGGTGACAATCCTTGTAGAGAAACAATTTGCAAAATAAATCTATATTTATAGCTTCAGCTTAATACCTTTATCAAATAGTAAGTGGAGGCCTATCATCATCCCATTTAAAGTGTGTTACTTGTGCATAACTAGTTCTACAAATTTCAATAATGGGCCTTATTGGTAACTAAATCATGTTATACATTAAGAATAGTTAGTTTGGTTGTAGAATCTTATGAATCATCAAAGAGGTATTGAGGATGTAGTAGTTGGCCTGCTGGTACTACCAGGGCTAGGTTGAGAAACTCAAGGAATGTTAAGAAAGAATTAGGCATTACCACATTCTGCATTAGAGTCTCTAATCCTCAGACCCCCAAAAGACACAAATATTTTGGGGGTTTGGGGTTTTTTTTGTATCTTGGGTGTTCCCTGTGGTATTTATTTTGCAGTATTCTCAGTGGGTGGCCCAGATGTCAGTCCTGACCCTGGTTGATGTTTGATTTGGAAATTTCTTCAGGCTTAGTCCCAGGTGCAAGGGCCAGAGGATACGCTGTAAGAAGAGACAGCTGAAGTGGAGTGGATGGAAAAGTCACCTGTATCCAGGAAGTCAAGAAGCTTTAATCACTTGCTGTTCATTCATTGAATACATATTTACTGAGAACTCTTACATGCTGATCCCCATGGAGGACTCCAGGAAGAACAGCTCTTGATTTCTGCCTCTAAGAGGCTCACAGCCTAGTTAGAGAGACACATACACACCACGATACCTTTTGGTGACTGCAGCGGTAAGGAAATGCTCAGGTGTGGTGCAAACCTGGACTAGGGACCCTCACCTAGTCTGGGGCAGCCAGGGAAGCCGGAGGTGGTAGTGATGCTGATTTTAAGGAAGGGGCAGGAAAGCAGACAAAGGGTGTGAAGAGACATTTCCCAGAAAGGAGAGAGAGAGCAGCCCCAGGAGAAAGACCAGCAGGATGTGTTTGGGAACCACTGTCATTTGACAAGGTTTGTCTTAGTTTCCTAGTGCTGCTGTAAAAAAAAAAAAAAAAAAAAAAAAAAATAAATTTAGTGGCTTAGAACAACAGAGATGTATTCTCTTGCTATTCTGGAGACCAGAAGTCAGAACTGAATCTTACGGAGCTAAAATCAAGGTGTTGGCAGGGCTGCTTTCTTTTGGGAACTGCAGGGAAGAGAGTGGATCCTTCCTTGCCCCTTCCAGCTTCTGGTAGCTGTGGGTGTTCCTTCATGCCAATGTCCGCCTCTGGTCAGATCACTTCTCTTCTGTAGTCTAATCTCCCTCCTGCCCTCTGATAAAGATAGTTGTGATTACATTTAGGCCCCACCTGTATAATCCAGAATAATCTCCTCACCTCAAAATCTTACTTTTCTCTGCAAAGTGCCTGTTACCATGTAAGGTGACACACTTCACAGGCTCTAGGGATTATGCCCTGGATATCTTTGGGGGCCTCCACATTGCTGTGGGATAAATGACGAAGCAGGGAGTGGGGAGAAGTGAGGCAGGTCCCTTACCTTGGACCTTGGATGTTGTAGTAAAGAGTTTGGACACCTATCCACAGGGTAAGGAGGCTGTGAAGGGATCAGATTATATTTTAGAAAGATCATGCTGGATGCAATGTAGAGAACTGATTGGAGCGAGTGAAAGGGCAGTGTGGTGCCAAGAGTGTACAAATAAGTGACCCTTAGGATTTAAAGTTAGCAGAACTTGGTTCTCAAGTGAACATAGTTCATTTATAAATAAAGAGAGATAGTCTGGCCAGTTTGAAATGCATCCACCATCTTCTGGTTTTCCGTCTTGCTCTGATTTGCAGTGGAAGGTTGGCTGTTTATAGACAACCTCAGCCTTGGTAGAAGTATATTGTTGTGAGCAGAGCCAAGGAAGGGACGGACAGGCTAAGAACTCCAAATCCTCATTCCTAACTCTTAAATTTCAACCATGCCAGATAAAATGTTCCAGATAAAAATCACCCCAGTGAAAACGAGGAGCCACCAGTAAAGGACAGTTAAGGCCAGCCACTTTCCAGACTGGCAATCCTGGCTTTTAGCAATAACTATTAATCATAAAATTTACCTTGCAAATGCCCTTCTCCCTGCCAGCCTTCCTCCCACCTTAGAAGAGGAAGGGGGAGTTACTTCAGTTGCAGACTTTTTTAAAAAGTATTTTCCCTCCAAAAGAACTTCCCAAGCTCCTTTTTATTCATCTGGCCCTTTTCTGGGTACTTGGGTCTCAACTGGATTGGTTGAACCAATCTGATCATGTTTTCTCCGACCCGTTTACAAACTGATAACGTTGTCTTTGTGGACCTGGCACGGAAGGTTAGCTGCAGCTGGATGGCACAGACCAGGACAGGAACCTGGAGGCAGGGGATATTTCAAATGTCCTACACTGTGTCATTTGCTGGGACACAGAAATGCAGCAAGTCCATGTAAACTGCTGACTCTGACTGCAGTGTGGTAAGTGCAGTCACAGGGTGATAAATCCTGCGGGAACACAGCCTCCTTCTGTGAGGCCATGTAAACGTCAGTCCGTTTCTAGTGCTTCAGTCCTCCTTTCTGATACAGTTCCATTCTCAACTAGAAATTCCGTCAGAGGCCTGCCAGTTCTAGTGCTTTGGCCATTGGGACAGGTGAAATGTTCAGCAATTTTGCCTTTCATTGAGACTTGGAAGCACAGCACCATGACAGGGCATTTTTAATTTGCCGAGCTGGGTCCCCAATACAGTTTAGGCAACATTCCCCTGTCCCCTCAGGCCCAATGCATATGTCGGTTTCCGTTTGCAGCCACTGATAGATGTTTTTATGTAACACAGGATCTTTCATTTTGTAATTAGAGGAAGAGAGCAGAGTCTTTGGTTGGAGGAGGAGGGAGATGGTTTAGTCTTTGTTGTTTCACTAACCCTTCGGATGGGGTTTGAGACTCCGTGGTTAGAGGACTGGTCAGACGTGGAAGGAACACTTCATGAGAGGAGATATGATACATTGGGCACAAGTGACCTGGTTTAGGGCTCGGATGACAAAAGAGCAAAGAGTATGCAAGTCAGGGAGAAGGACCTCCTCCCCATCTCTGAGGAGCCCAGCTCTGCTTTGGCACCCTGAGGATTAGAAACTGGGAAGTGTCCAGGATCTGGGAATAATGACACAGGCTCTGACAATCTTATGACGGTCACTGAACCCAGTGAGCTGTGTGGGCGGCAGGGTGGACATAGGGTAGTTGGTGGTTGACTCATGTCTCTGGGTGTAGGTGAGGCGCTCCTTTGAAACTCCCTAGAAATTACTGAGGAGTTTTTTGGGAGGGATGCTGAGGCACTGTTGTTATATAAGTGAGAATCTGAGTCAGTGTAAAATGGATACTGAAAGCAAATGTGGCTAGAATTTGTAACCATCATCCCAGCAGCTCTAGACAAAGTAGTTAATAAGCAAAGCAAAATGTAGGACAACTGAAGCAAAATATTTACAGAATGAATCAGAGTCCAAAGACCACTTGAAAAACAAGGACTGTGACCTGAAACCCAAAAATAAGATGGAAAGGAATTACTTTTTTTTACTTTGAAACTTATTGAAAACAGGAAAGGGTAACTCGCAGGGTTTCAAAGCACTCACACATTGGGTACTGGGTAAAGGCTTCCTTCTTTGCT